GACACTGACAGCGAGCACAACAGAGCCCTGGTGCCCCACGGCTCCGGGACTGCGAGCGAGCGTCTCAGACACCAAGCAGAAGGTTCAGACTAGGAGCTGTCTCACCTGCAAAAGAACTCCCACAGGTCTAGGTTTTGAATTCTCTGGATTCTTTTAATTCTGTTGCGATCCATCGTTCTCCCAAAGAGACCGGCAACCTCCTTATACTCATGCGTTTGGTTGTGCAAAGGAATAAGCTGGAAAGAGAAGTTTGCAGCGTGGTTTTATGGGGCCCTTTGCAGGCCCCCCCGTCTCCCGTGGGTCAGGGCAGCGCTCACCTGGTAGGGGACCTCGGTGTTCACGTTCTCCCAGTGCGCGGGCATGGGGATGGCCTCGTTCTCACAGATGTAACTGTACGTGGAAAAGACAAAATGAAGTATTAGAAGCTGATGACAGTCACAATCAGTGACTTATACGTTTCCTCCCAACCTGAATTTTCACGCTGAGGCGCTGTGACAAATGCAGTTAGGTGCAGTCCTTGGTTTCTCTCTTTTCAAATATTTCTTGAATACCTACTCATGTGCAACTTTAGGTACTGAACTGAGAAACCTGATGGGAAACACCTAGTCCTACATAACGTTAAAATTTCAAAAGCTGTTGTTTAATTCTGTTTTTTGTTTTCCCCTGAATTTTCCAGAATGTCTTTTAACTGTAGGAAGATATTAGGTAAAGAAAAGGAAAATCCAAGAAGAAAATCAAATTCTTGGTCAAAAAAAAAAACCTCTTTAACAGATTTAAACTGCCTACTAAATTACACCCAGTTTTCACAGCCACACATTCAATGTCCTTCAGGATGGAACTCAAACCTACAGCTTCCTCTCTTCACTGCCCACGACGCCCGCGGTCCACATTAGCTCACTTGGCGCAGCAGACAGTCGAGATTTTGAAAACTGTCCACCATGTTTAAGCCACTGGATGTGAACACGGAAAAAGACAACGATCTTTGCTCATTTTTCTGAGGGGTTGCTGGTCTTCTACTTGGAGATTCCTAAAAGTACTTCGTACACGACAGAGCTGAGCGCTTAGACCGGGGTACTGGGGAACAACAGTTTCCCAGGGTTTTGGTGTTTGTTTTTCACTTTGCCTGAAGTATCTTTTAGCTATGGAAAAGGTATTCGTCTGTTTGTCTGTTTAAGTGTTTGCAGCCCTAGTTAACTGTGAATTCCTTGCCAGCAGGAAATGCACTGCTCCCTTTGCGTGTCATAGATGCTCACCGTAGTCCTGCACTACATAAGCAGACATTTCTAGATCAGCACCTCTTCCTCTTCACCAGGCTTCTGTGTCCTAACTGTTCTTCGTCCTTTACTGTCTTGCTCTGTGCCCTCCATTCTGGCTCGTTCTCTCCCCTCCCTGTCTTTTTCTATGGCTCATACAGTCTACGTGAGAGCAGAGCATCTGGCCCCGTCGTGTGCTTCCTCTCCCACCACAGGGTACCAGATGCAGTGACAGACACTTAGAGCGACCCGTCCATCACTAGGTCTCATCTTCCTCCCAGATCACATGTTCTTTGAAGATAAATAATTCCTTGATTAAATTCCTCATACTTAAGAATGAGATATGATGAAGCTGGTAAGGAAACAACATTCTCCACCTTCCATGGAAGTATTAGGGCATTCCTTACATAAGTATTCGAGTATCTTTGAAATCATGATCCTAAACATAAGCCAAAAGTCTCGAGAAACAAACTGACAGAAACGTTAAGCATTTCTTTCTTTAATCCTTTCAGAGTATCTCCTTGGAAGGAGCAAACGGGTCTCTCCTACAATTGACAGGCTAGCAATTTTTTTTTTCTGTTTCATTTAAAATTCTTTGAACAGGAAGAATTTCAATACTTGCTTGAGGAAATCATTTCAGAAAATAGGAGACTTGCTCTAAGATTTCCCCTTCAATTCCATTCATATGAATAATGAATCTGTATTGTCTTGGGACATCTATGGCGGTCTTTTCTGGCTACAGACAGCAGGACAGGGAAGGAGGAGGATGTGCCGCCCCGACCCAGGGAGCAGGGGTGTGGCTGCTGTCCCCCATTCCCCATCGCCCCAGGTCCCCTCAGTCACTGCAGATCTGAAATTATGTCCAGGGGCTGCCCCATGGGATTTGGTGGAGGTGAACACAAAGTGGGTGATTACCTAAAATGTATGGTTCAAACAACTGGATGGTTCCGGGAGAGTCTTTCCTATTCAAACTTACCTCAGTAGGTTATTTTAAGGATTTAGAGCAGAGACCAGACATGCAAGTGTTCTAAAGAATTAAAAAGCAGAACTCTATAAAGGGAAACAAGAAGGACAGCAGGCAAGGAGACGCCGGCAGAAGGTAGCAACACTGCTCGTTCACTAGCTGACGTGAGCTCGGGAGAGACAAGATCAACATGAAGGTTATTAAATAACCTACCAAACCCTTTCCGCCTCTCCACGTCCCCGTCAGCTATCAAGGCAGAGGAGAGGAGACAAAGCCCGCTCTTCCCACCCCAGGCTCTCCACCATACCTGAAAGCACTGATGGAAAAGGGAGCTCTTTTTATTAGACGCTGTTTTCCAGAGGTGAGATTCGTCTGCTTCATTTCTGCACACGGAGACAAAGATGTTAGAGAAGTCCCAGAAACACATTGTGCTGTCAGCTGTCACGAAGATCTGTGGCCACACAGTGTGATGATCTGGGACCGCGGGGCTTTGGGAGGAGCGGCCATAACCAGGGCACTCGGGCTGCTTCAGTGGACACGCTGGTCAGCAAAGCAGGTTCGCGGCTTCATCTGAGCTCACACACGAGGATGCTAACCTCGGACGCTGCTCGGACGCAGGGTCTGCCCTTTCCGCCTCATACTTAGGCTAAACTGACAGGGAAACAGGAACGTTCTCAACCTAAGAAAATTTAGAGTGCCAGAAGGAGGAAGAAATTACAGTACTGACTCTCCTGGTCAGTTTCCTAAGTGAGAAATGCACTTTGATTTCTCCACAAAGATTTTGGAAATGATAAAAAAAAGATACATTACCATGATGAAATGTGCACAATTCAGTTTCAAGAATTTGTACCTTTCTTGCCTTTTCTTTAAAGTGTACTCCTAAACAGAAAACCTGGCTAGACTCAAGGTGTACTTACAGAAGAGATGCTGGTGATAAAAGGAAGAACTCACTGCAGGCATCATTTTCTTCTTCTATCTGTCCCTCAGCGGCGGTGACACCCATCACACCCGCTTCTTCATCCCCCCAGAGTTAGGCGCTAAGTCTTCCTACAAGAGCCTAGCCAGTCTATCTTGTCTAACTGGCATCCTAACACCCCCAATAAAGGGGCTCCCCGCCCAGGCAAATGCTGCTCCAGGTGTGCCCCGCTTTTTCCGTGCCCCCTTAGGCTCCGTGTGCTGGCGTGAGCATTGCGCAGGGAAAAGCAAGGTGGTCCCGGCACGAGGAGTGAAGCCTGTGGTGCCTCCTTGTACCACCTCATTTCAAGTTTACTTTTACGATTTTTACGAAGGGAAGCTGGCTTGGCTTGTGGCAGAACGGATGGGGCTCGTTTTGCAAACGCAACGTGGGAAACGCGAACACTGACGCTGCTGAAACAGCATCGTTACAGTGAGGGCTGGGGACTGGAGCTGTCATACGTGACTTCTATGCTTTGATAAAGGTTTGTTTTTTTTTAAATAAACTGCACCATCTGAGAGAAAGCTTCCAAAAATACAGTTTGCTAGAAAATACTCTTTCAGAAATATGTGGTGTGCTGGGCTACCGCCCAAGTGCTTTGACAGACTTACCTTCTGCATGATGCCTGAGGTCTGTGTACCACTATGTCTCAGTGTTGCTTCAAAACTGGGACTTGGGGGGGGGAGGGTACAACTCAAGTGGTGGAGCGCATGCTCAGCACCCACGAGGCCCCGGTTCAATCCCCCGGACCTCCTCTAAGCGAGAATCAGTGAAGAACCCTAATTAGCCCCTCTCAGCAGAACTGGGACTTGCATGCAAGAGTTAAGTGTCTACCAACACCGTCTGTCTAGACTGCGGCAGAAAGACAAACGTCAGGGCTCCTTAAAGGCAGCCTATCTGCCTAATGTCATAAAAATGTTATAGTTAGGAGTAAGAATCTAATGGCTTTAACTCTTGAATTAAAAAAAAACAGCTCTGGGAGACGACAATCATGAGAGGTCCGGCTGCCTCACCTTTACTGGACTAGCCCCTCCACCGCTTCTGGGCCTCGGTGCACCCAAGGACCGCCCTCGGCTTCCCCGCCCCCTCCTGCCTGCAGTGCAGCACCAGCTCCGTTGCCACGACTCCGCCCACAGGAACTGGGGCAGAACGCCTGGAGGATCGGGCCGTGAGGCACCCCAAATGCACTTTATTAAGAAAGCCCCCCCATCCAGGTCTCGCTTGCCTTGAAGCAGAAAACAGCTGCGGCTGGCAGCTTGAAACTGAAGGGGTGACTCCAACAGGTTTTCGTGGGAGCCCTAAAGACACGCCCACGTACTGGGGATGAAATCCAAGTGGGGCTGATTTCCAGATCAGCTGCTGGGGAAGAGCCACTGAGACCAGAGAGTGGCAGGAGGTAACGCCCATCACGGTTTTCTGGCAAAGACTCCAAGGGGCGGGTCATTCAGCTCAACTTCAGTCTTAAAACTAAACTAGCTACGTATGACTTTTGTCACTGAACCTGTCTGGCTGATCTTTAAAAATAAAAAGATGATGATGAGTAAGAGTTTATGGGTGTTTTGTGTTCCTCATATGAGAAGCATCACGTGAACCCAAAATACATGACAATCTCCACACACATCAGTGACTGCAAGCATGTAAATACACCTTTATAAAAGGCACGTTGCTCGAAAAGATTGCAAAGCCTGAATTTCTGCAGCGGCATTTTACAAAAAGGACCTACTTTACTGTTTACAGTAAACCCTGACCTTCAGAGAGGCAGATTTTACCACATCAATATTCTAAGAACACACAACTATTAGGGAAAAAGACATACCTGCAAAGTCTATCCTGTAGCTGAATTTGGAAGTAGTAAAAGAAATGGAGCCACAAGGGTTTGTTTTGAAGCTTTTTTCGATATCTTCACTGCTAACTGAACACTGAATGTTGGTATCCGGCTTTAAGACAAACCAGAAAGTTTCATTTACCAGCTGTTCACATTAATGGCTTGGCCACAGCAGTGGTGCTGTGGGCACAGAGACAGAACAGAGGGGACAAGGAAGCTTACTAGTCACCTGCTCTAGTTCCAAATACACAGGGAGCACCCCAGCTATGACGGCAAGGATTTCCGGCAAAGAAACGTCAACAACTGGTTAGAAGGGCTTTTTCCAAGTTATGAGCATTTTTCCAAATTACGGCAAACATTACACTTCCTAAGTGGCTCAGACCGCGTCTTCTTTGAGCAGCCTTGTAAGTCTAAAAAGACCACAAGCTTGGC